CCATTATCTTTTAGTGATGAAGAAGGGGCATTAAACGTTGGAATGGCAAAGCACCTGTAATCCCCATTTACTTTCCTGTATCTGTCCCAGGCCTCTTTGGCTGGGACAAAGCTGGTTAAAGAAGAAAGATACTTCATCCATGACTTCCGCTTTGCCTGCTTCCTAGTCCAACCAGCCTTGGCTTTTCGTCGCTTGAAATCAACAAGGTTGCTTGGAGTGGGGTATCTGCCAAATCGGCCCCACGCCCTATTTTGGTCCGCCCGGGTTGTCGCACACTCCTTATTCCACCAAGGTTTACATTTCTTCGGTATATTACCAGATGTTTGTGGAATGGACTGCTGAGCAGCCTTTAGTATCTGCTCAGTAACATAAAGTGTAGCGTTCTCAGGGGACATAGACGAAAGAAGCGAAGGATCTAAAGTGGAGTGAAGATTAAAAAGCGCCCAGTCTGCCTTGTCTAATTTCCACCTAGGGACCCTCTTTAAAAGATTAGGCAATGGAACGGTACTCTCTAAAACAACTGGATAGTGATCACTTCCAAAAGGGTTATGAAGAACCTTCCAGGAAAAACAAGGAAGCAATGAAGGTGAAGCAATAGAAAGATCGATGGATGTAAATGAGTTGTGTGCCGCACTAAAAAACGTTGGCTCTCTCCCATTAAGAAGGCACAACCCCAAAGACAATAAAAGACGTTCAATCACACCACCACGGGAGTCTTGACGGGTACTACCCCACATAGGATGATGAGCGTTAAAATCCCCCAAAATTAAAAACGGTTGTGGAAGCTGTCCTATACGTCCCTGAAGCTCTTGAAGGTTTAAAGGAGCATTAGGTGGCAAGTATAAGGAAACAATTGTTACAAGGCGGTCTAGAAGGAGACGTACTGCAACAGCTTCCATTGGCGTGCAGAGGGGGACTTGAGAACAAGCAGCTCCCCTCTGTACGACCGCTGCAACACCACCAGAAGGCGTGGAAGAGGGGCGATCTTTTCTAAAAACCTGATGACGTCTTAAAATATTAAAAGAATTAGTGTTAAGATGGGTTTCTTGCAAGGCGAGAGCGATGGGTCAAAGCTGATCCATAAAATAGTTGACATCATCAATATTTCTTAAAATACCGCGACAGTTCCATTGCATAAAATGTAACTTAGTCATCTATAAAAGGTATGTAAATATAAAAGTGAAAAATAAACTTAGTAAAATGAGTATGACTGTAAAGTCAACACAAACTAGGTGGAAGACATTGGGATCATCATTTGGGTGGGACAACAGGCTTCTTATTCCTTTTATGTTTACTGGAGGGCGTTTCCCACTCCATATTGTCCTGGTCGGACCCAGGAGCGGACAGATTGTCAGCATCTGTTGACATCTCCACCTCCTGAGAGGTATCCGTTGTTTTTAGAACAGCACTTGTCCGGCCAGGTGTGTGGGGGGGCAAACCCCGACCACGACCGGCTGGGAGGGTTGCAGACGAACTGGGCGACGGGTCGTCTGAGCTCGTCTGGTCCCCTCCTTTCATAGGAGCTGCATGGGCACCATGCTGCTCCTTCGGTAAGGGGGCCCTCTCTAGCGAGCAAGAGCGAGAAGCTCGCTCCGTCTCCCCAGGGGGCGACCTAGGAGAGGGGGCAGGCGCGGCTGCTGCCGGCCTGTCCCTGAAAGGAGGAGCTGCACGCTTGCTACCACCAGGGGCTGGAGGAAGCAGCCGCTGGTCCTGTCGGGGAGCTGGGGCCCTGCAGTCGGCCGCCAAGATCTCGAGAGAGACCTGGGTGGCCCTTGACTCCGAGCGTGGTGCAGGGCCCCTGCGCACCACCTCGGCAAAACTCCCCTTTGACAAAAAGGAGAACCGCTTCTTGGCTTCTGGGTATGATATGTTTTCTTTTACTTTGATGGTAAGAATTTCCTTTTCTAGCTTCCAAGAGGGACATGCACGATAATAAGCAGGATGTGGTCCACCGCAGTTAGCGCAGAGGGCCGCAGCCGCCTCGCAAGTATCGGAAACGTGACCTTGACTACCGCACTTCGCACACGTCTCCTTCCCTCGACAGCTACGTGTTCCATGACCAAAACACTGGCAACGGAAGCACCGCTGGGGGTTGGGGACGTACGGGCGAATGCGGCAGTTCAAGTATCCTGCCTTGACTGTCTCGGGGAGGGTATGTCTTTCAAACGTCAGGATAACATGCCTTGAAGGAATTTGTTCGCCATCTTTCCTAAACATAATGCGTTTCACGGCGACGACACCGGCACCCTGGAGTCCCTCGAGGAGTTCTTCCTCACTAGTGTGCAAGAAGTCGTCCTCAGAGAGTACTCCACGGACAGTATTTAGTGTGCGATGAGGACTCACCGACACCTTCACGTCAACGATGGTAGTTAGTTTAAGAAGTGCGTCACTTTGTTTTTTTGTATTCACTTCCACGAGAAGGTCTCCAGTGTGCTGTTTTTAGCCTTGTAGGAAAACCCTACAAGGTTTTCTAGCACCTTTGCTACAATAAAAGGTGACAGCTTGGAAACAGGTCTTCGTTCATCCAGCGAATGAACGATGAAAAACTTATTAAACGTTTCTGCTTCATATTCTTTGTCGATGGTTTTTTGTTCGGGGCAGCGCCTTTTAAGGGCGTGCCCTGAACGGGGTTTGGAGGGGTGGGGCGCCATAAAAGGGCAAAGAGTGTTCGGAATCCGCGGTGCACCGCCCACCACCGAGCCCAACAAGGGGTTAGGTAACGCACCATAACAAGATGGGCTTGGCTGGAGACGTTACGGTAACAGTGCTGCCGGGAAACTATACCCAAGTGTGGGTCAAGACAGAGGTCTATTGCCACCCAAGGTTAGTCCTTGCCGCCAAAGAGGGGTGAAAAAGGATCAAAAGAAATGAGAAGGAAGTGAAAGAAACAGGAAAGGTAAAAGCGAAAGATCGGAGGGGATAGTAGAAGAAAAGGCGACTATACTGAATCATCCTGGCCGGGCCTTACCAGGACTTCCGTCTATGAGAAGCGGGGGCCGAAGTGGTGTATTGCCTCGCCCGGGGGGCCCCGAAGGGTCCAACCCTGCCCCGGGCTCAGCTCAACCACCAGGATGCCCTTTTCCCCAGACACGGGAAAGCCACGCACAGTCAGACGTGGGCGGGCAAACCCGCATGGCTCGGGGTCCGTGGAGACGCCACTCTCCAAACACCTGCTTTCACAGGTGCCCCCTGCGGGGAAACAATGGACCGGGAAAAGTTAATAAGTGAAAGATGCGTACTGTCGGAGTTACTAATTCGAAGTTTATTACGACGTTTCGAGCGGGGACCGCTCTTCATCAGGTGATGAAGAGCGGTCCCCGCTCGAAACGTCGTAATAAACTTCGAATTAGTAACTCCGACAGTACGCATCTTTCACTTATATATATATATATATATATTTGTTAGAGAGGCACCACAAACGTTACGGTGATGAGCCATCAAATTTATTTTAGGAATCGGAGGTGGCTGTGGGGCCGCTGACATGGCATGGAGAAGTCCTGATCACTTGGTGCCGCCTGTCGCTTAGGCATCGCGTTTCCAGCCGCCCTCGTGTACAAAGGGCACAACGGGCCAGCCATTGCTACGCGCTGGCGGCTACTCCGATTATTACGCGATACCCGCCGTTTCTTCCCTTGCAGCCGGAAAGACGGGCGAGGGGAAGCGGCAGAAAACTCCGTTCTTCTTTTGACCTAATCGCAGCGGCTATCGTCGCAGGAGGCGTGCTGTGCGGCGAAGAGGCGTTAAGAAAGGACGCCTGGTTGGGGTTTAACTTCGAAAATTGATTTCTCGCTTTAAACAAAAATTACTTTAATTAAACTTTCAGAATCAAAAGATTATCGATCGTTCTTCCAAACCCATTATATTTTCCATTTTTACTTTGACCACCTCAGGATGAAATAAGCGGCTGTTTATGCGTCGAAACACACTTTTTGCAACTTCGGGATTTTTGTTCGCTGCGAGATATTTAATTGAGCGGTTTTAAACATTTTTATAGGTCATATACCGGCAGGGAACCCGGTAAAAAGTTATGTTAAGTTCCGGGAGCAGTTAGGTATTTTGTACTAAAATAACAAATATGTTAAAATTTTGAAAAATATTTATTTAAAAAACATTTAAATTAACAAAACTTCAGAAATCCAGCCACATTGTAAGTCGAAAGCCGTTCATATTCAAAAAAATATTGTTAGGTATTTAACTAACTTGAAGAAAAGAAGTCTCTTCCCGAAATGTCGTGTATTAAAACCTCTACTGCTGTTCAAACATTTTTCTACGTTTACGACTTTCTTGGTGAAGACTTGTTCATTAATACAGTTAATCATTTATTGAGTGAGGCCTAGCTCCACGCTGTTTCTAAAATTTAAAACCGCGTTCACGTCATAAAAATTTTTTTTTCGCCAAAAATATTATAGGGCATGGCTACGGACATTGCGGTAAAAAGCCATGAATTTTTCTTTAAAAATCGGAAGGGGTCGAGCGCAACGTCTGGGACGTTTGATATGGAGTGACCCAATACTAATTTGTTTTTTTCTGATAAGAACGATTAAAGCCAGGAGCCAATTGCCGAACGAAATCCTGTATGTAGAAACGGCACCCCAGCCTTTGAACATTAATCACTCAGCTGTTAACCTGTTAGAGTCACAAACTTGTACTGCGTACGTGTTAACATATGTGAATTGTCAACCGCTCCCCGCATTGATGTGCGTATATTTGCAACGGATACCCTCTGTGTAATGTCAATCAAGAGAGTGTTGATAGTATTTTCAAATAAATAAATAAAAACAAAATATCAAGCTACTCTAAGTTGCTCCTGCATAGTTTCAGTCTCGTTTCGATCGGTTTACTAGGAAAATCGACAGCGCAATAAAATATTTATGTGAGAGATGCCTTAACAACGTGAACTCGTGTATAGTGGTGACTGTTTTGAGCCTGAGGAAGGAAAAGGGAAAATCCAAAATGGATCTTTACTGCTCTGGAATTTATTTATTGTTTTGGATACTTACTGATGTCGTTATCCAGCACACCGTAAAACGCATTTATCACTGCCGCACCTGTGACCCACCTGAATAGTTTGATAAAAGAATTGTAACTCTACACATGAGTGGGATCTATATCAAACAAATAAATCCAAGAAAACAGGCATTGATAATACTCACTCATCTTCTCTCTTATATGGTTTTCGTAATCTGAGAAGTTCCTGAAGGTGGTGATTGAAATTCAGGCCGCGCCGAACATTCACAAATGAAGAGTTCAAAAAAATTGCAGGCACCTATGAAGAAAAGAACACACACACACACACAGACACACACACACGCACGCACGCACACACACACAACACACACAAACACACATGTTCATAATTTGCATGTCTCGTCTTTTCCCCCCATAAAACAAACCATATTTTAGGACTATAGATAACACACTACAGCTTATTAATGTAAATGTTACGCGGTGCGGACCATCATACAGGTACAAACTAGGCGATAATTTGTTTCTTCTTGATCATGCTTTATGACGATACATGACGGATTTTGTAAATGGAAGCATAGTTTAATGATGATGGTAGATCCTTCTCGAGCTTATAAAGGAGGCATTTGTGAAATGTATACTATGTATGAAATTATGTTTTCTCGCTTACTTGGCATGAGGTGTGAACTGTGAACCGGGTGTGCATCATGCAGCAGGTGCATTCAATTCAAGGAAAACCTTTTTTTTTTTTTAAGCAGAATTTTTTTTTAGCGGACTATGCACTGAGAGCCTACTAAATTTTGAAAATAGGGTATTCACATATAGCATATCTAAAAATAATTACGTTGAAAGCTGTGCCTTCGAGTCAAGCGTGTATTTTTTTCAACTGTACTTTTTTTAAATATTTAGAGTTGTCGATGAACACCCTCTATATCCGGCCAGCCGCATGAATCGGGTGCTTGGTTTTGAACTCGAACATATAATTTTATAAAAAGGGGGTGAGGTTTAGGCGAGTGCCGTCTTCGACCTCTTTTTATCTAGGAGAACACAAACTAGATGAGAGAATAATCGTCATGATAAGTTGGCTGATTAACTAAATTGTTTAATTAATTTTAAATATTGGTTTTAGGAAATATGTTTTAATTGCACTACTCACGTATATTATTATTGCAGGACAGAACGATGAGCAAGTGTAGCAATACTGCATAAGTTTTCAGGTGTTAATTTATCAACTTTCACGTTTTTATTCCAATTCGAAAATTGCCCGCAAAAAGAGTGTCGCAGCTCTGCCCGCACTGCCGCTTGGAAGAGTGACGTAGTCGTTTCAATTATGTCTGCACTATCTCGGCAGTGTGTTCTTGGTCAGTGCGCCCAAGACATGTGTCGACGTGGCTGAAACGACCACGTCATTCTACTAAGCCTGAATGTGGACAGGGCTAACGCCCATTTTTATACTGCAACTTCACCTTTTTATTGGTCTTTCCATTGACAGCAATTGCCGTCATTCCGATGTATACGTAAAGCCCCTCGATGTTTTTGCGTTTATCTTGCAAGTAGCGTCAAACGCGCCAGTGCACAAGGCTCGTTTCTCGAGCCGCCCTTGGAAGCGAATGGCGGCGCAGCTCTGAATTGAGCGGCCCTTGGAGGGGAATGGCGGGGGAGCACCCGCTCGTGGAACGTGTCTTGCGCGTTTCCACGACAGTTGTTGGCGGTCCTGGTAAAAACGACTTTATCAATGGGCTTTAAATATACGAAATGCGTCATCTACTAGGCGCGAGAAGAACTAGATCCGCCATCTTGGTTATGTCCAGAAAAGCGGCGGGATGGGCTGGTGCGCGCTGGTGTGTGCTGTGCGATTTTCTATTTCTACCAGCTAGAAGCCATGAAATTGCTCTGACTCACTCTGCAAGCAAGGTGGAGCCAACGACAGCAATGGGAACACGGTATGTATCACGAATGTATCGTTCATTCGTTTATTATTTCTATTCGAGCCCTAGAGCAGTTATCACGAGCAAACCATCGTCGGTTTTTCCTCTTTTAATTTGACAGTTGGAATTCTATCACTAAAACTACGTATGTTTTGAGAATAACGCTTTGGGGGAACTAAAATGGGTGGTGAAACTTTTAGTTCTTTAATTTGCTCTTCGAAAATAACGCAAAAAGCGCCGGTGTAATGTTCGGAATAACAGTCTCGCTATGTGTACACTTAGCCTGAACAAAAGGATGCTATCTGTCGCTAATGTAATGTACTGTAGGAAAGAGCACGGCTGTTTTCAACGTACAGGATTTATGTATATCGGGGACTGCAACCTTGCAAGATATAACTGTGACGGCGCAAACCTGTTGACTTCCTTCTTTACCGCGATGCATTCGCGACGAGTGCTTTAAATCGCGGCGAATTTTTGATAGTGAATCACTCTATTGCTTGTAAGCTTCTTTGTTACCCTTCGGTGGCTATAAGCGCTAATAACCCACGCCGCGAAGGTACTGCTCTAATCTACATAAAGCCTCACTAACAGCAAGGTGGGAGCCACGTTGGGAGCATACGTCTCCTAATGATTTTACCGTTTTGCGTCTTTGCAACTTGTCAGTTCACTAAAGTGCCACTATGACGTCCTAAGTGCAAATAAACTACAAAGGCGCCTTCAGTGCCGCCTCTGCAGCGAGCGCGACGCTTTTGAAAGCCTCTTCTCTTCGCGAGTTTTCATTTTCACAACGAATTCTCCGAAGCCAAGTTCTCAAACTCGTCCTTTCGAGTCCGCAGAACACAATTTGTGAGATGGGATGTACAGTGAAAAGCTGTCGGCGTGCCTCGGAAGTAAATGTGGTGACTCTAATCTGAAGTAGAATGCTCCCAATTTCAATTACCGATTTTAAATAGGCACACATAGAAGCGATCTGTTCGTAGATCGTGGGTTCTTTTTAAAACACACTTTTAGTAAGTGGAGCTTCCTTGGTCCACGCTCATATGCAAAAGTTCTTACATACCTTGAATCGCAGACCTGTATCGACATTGATGAGGGCCGCGTGTACGCTCCGAAAGCCAAACCCGTACGACTTGCTCTGCTGGTGAGACGACGTCGCTGTGGACGCGCACAAGTTGCGAGCCCGTCTTCAGAAAGGGTACGTAAAGGTTTTAAATTGTTTCGCCGCAGGCTATGGTTTGAGCTCGTAAAATTCCATCGTTGCATCATTCCTCCGGCGGGCTACACGGTCAATGAATACGCCGAAGCGGCTCTCCGGCTCTCCGAGTTAGACTTAACTAAGATGGCCGATATGATGCATGCGCTGAATGTTGCGAGACGTCCTAGCAATTTATCACATCTCGCCTACTGCCGTTGCAACATGACCCTAAAAAGTAATCACTAAAAAGTTCATGAAGCGATTTTAGTTGAAATAGCCTGCTTACCATGACGACTATCCCCTCAACTGATGTCATCCAAGCTTCATAAATACATTGTAAAGAGGGCATCTGTCTAACTCTCACCCAGTTTAAAGAGACAGTTGGAATTAATATTAAACAACCTGTATATAAAATATAAAAAATGCAACCTATTGGTTGTATTGGCATATTTATGCAAAATCGGGATAAATCAAGACTAGAACGGCTGAAAATATCTTGAACACAGAAACAAACCTTACCAAAATATGAAATAATATTATTTTGTCATCGGCGTAATATAACTTACGTATTTATAAAGGTCATTAAGATACGTCTCGTTTAGTATCCAAGAAGGGTATCCAATTTTTGCTGTCATTTTTTGAAGCTGAAATGAATGACCTAATTAGTACATGGTCACAATACGAATAAGGGTCAGTACCTTCTGCATTGCCTCCTCACGTGTAGATTTATCCATCCATGTATTATTTTCAAGCATCTCTCCAAAAGTACTGTCAAGCACACCCACCAATTCGTCAATCTGATAGAAAAAAAAATAATCATCTTAAAAGAAATTTCAACATTTTACCACAGGAATACTGACCTGTATGTTTCATATCTTCGCCCCTTATTTTGTGAAGTACCCCAATACACAAAAGACAAGTAATGTACTGTTTTTGTTCCAAAACAATTGGTCACTTACGCGAAACGCCAGCTCCACACATTTTTTTTCTCCTCTGTACTATATTTGGCATAACCGGGCCCCTGCTCCCATGCAGTTCAGCATATAGCAAAATGAACAACGCAGCAATATACTAAAGCATTGTAAGCAGCTTACAAATCTATACATTTCAACGCTGATCAGATTGCACAAGTTGAGGGGACTGCTAAGACGATCGTCGTCCTCGTCGGTGCAGCTAGAGCTGATGGATTGAGCTCGAGCACATTCAATCTGCGAGGTGATTATCTAGAATCAACGCGATGTTACCTCGGCCTCTCACACTGTAATAAACAGTTAAATAGTAACCGACTCATCGAGTTACTACACTGTCGAAGAGGGTCAAGACAAGAGCGGACTGAATAGGATATATCACATTCATGCAACGAGGATGCTGGAAAATTCTACACTCCGCTTTTATGGTCGCGAGACATTCCACCCGACAAGGAGCAATGGCGACTATCATATAAAGTTCCAACCTTGTCTTGATGTCGATGAAGTTATGGTGGACGCGGACGAGAACTTAAATATTGCATCAGTTCGTGCCGAGACATTCTAGATGCTGAATTGTTTCTCGAATAAAGCGTATCAGGAGCTAGTAAAGAAACTAAAAAAACACATAACACCTAAAAAATTGAAACAATTCGAACGGGCGAAACAGTTTTCGGCTCGTCAGGAAACAAACATGAAATCTTGCTTGCAGAGCTCTCACATTTTGTTAGCACCTGTTCACTTGTCTTGATATTTCTGACCTTTAAATTTGCCTTAAATGGCCTTCCATTGAATGACCTTGAATTTGACTTTTTTTATTTCTACTATGCTATTGCACAGAAAGTGTTTTTGTATTATTTATATCTTTCACATTTTATCAACATCATTCGATATAGTTTGTCCACTGACCCTAGTACAAACTTGTGTATAAATCATGTGTTTGAGACTATCGGGCTATACCGTGAAAATATTTATAATTTTTATGTTTGTTTTTTTCTGCTATTAAATATTGATCATTTGGTTGTTTTTCATTTGATTAGTTTGGCTATTGAATGTTTTTTTTAAATTTTTGTATAATGTGTCTTTTTTCCGTCTTAATGGTTATGTGGCCCGTTGCACACCCAGAAGGGGCTAGTCCTTGTCAGGCACTTATGCATCTTGCCTTAGGCCCTTCTGCAGAAGAATACGCAGACACAGATAAAGAATAAAAAGGAATGAGAATAAATCGGTCAAATAATTTATACCAGTGCTTCGAACAATCATCACCGACTGCGAGTATGCACCTGAAGCCCATGCCCAATCTTGCACGCTTTTGAAAGCGTTCATCGTCACTCTCCATGACACAGGCGTCTGTGCACGCCTGGTACTCGATATTCCAGAAGGACCTCACTCTTGACGGCGCCCTCCCCTTGGCCGAGTCCTACCCAAAAGCCGCAGCGGAGTCATAACGCCTAGACGGAGGACACCACTCTGCACTGCTCGTCAAATAGGTGAAGCTGTTTACTTCTGCACTGTGTTGGGTAAAGTACATCTAAAAGGTATTTCAAGTAAAGTATAAGTAAATGAGACGTGGTGTACTTGAAGTAAAGTACTAAGTACACTGGATGCGATGTACTTGAATAAACTACTATAAATCCAATGTACTTTCGAAGTACAGTAAACGTATTTTAAACCTATTTTGAAAACGTTAAAGACTGCTTTTAAACGTTCCTCCGAAAGAGACATGAGAACAGGAATCTGAGACTTCTTTCTAAAGTACCCGATTACCCTTCACATCTTGACGGAATAATCTCCATGTCCACTGCTCACCAGCAGGACCTATTGGACGGTTCTTGATTCGTTGAAGCGCCAAAGGTACTTTCCCAAAAACGAAACAAACAAGAAAGACAAAGGGATCCTCCCTTCTATGGTCAAGCAGGTGTTGGTAAAACATTCATTCAGGAAATTACGCTAGGTTATAGGCGTTGCCACCAGAAGAATTGGCAACGTCATTTAAGGAGTTTTGGATGAAGATTAGAAAACCCGTCAGATTCATGCAGATCACCTCTAGCAAGGTTGACATCAGATGATCTTGATATTTTAGCATTTAATATGAATGTCCCCCGGTCCTCCCAGTTAAACACCCACCTGGAGCCCACCAGTGTTGTAGGCAACACCAAAAAAGTAACGATATACGTACTCGTTATTTGGCAAATAGGGAAACGCGTTTCTGACCTACGCTACCTCAAAATAAAAGGAACGCGTTACCGTTACCAATAAGAATAACGCACCTTACTTTTGTGTTACTTGTTATTTATACATTGATGGCAACAGCGTTTTTTTTTGTTTTTTGTTTTTTTTTTGCGACAGCGTTTTTCGACATTGTGACACAAGATGTAGGCGTTGGGGGTGTTCTTAAAGTAGGACCTTTCGCGTAGAGAAAAGACAGGCAAAATATTGAAGGTATGTGGAATGAGTGAAATAATTAATGACTTGGCGCCTATATTTTATACCAGCTTAAGTCCACTCTCATCCGACGATACCAGCTAATGGGGCCAGTCAGCAGCCTCAAAAGCACAACTGGGCCTGTTTCTTCATGATTCGTTCAGCGATGATAGAACACGTAAAGAAACATCAAGAACACCATGATGGTGCCCGCTTGGCGCTGTCCGATTAGTATCATCAGCTAAGCGCGAAAAAAATAACGTTTTTTCAGGTATTGGGAAGAAAATGTAGCGAGTAACGTAGCTACGTCACCTGTTACTAGAAATGAGCAACGTAAGTACGTTACCCATTGCTGTATTAAAAATAAATCAGTACGTCTCTACGTTACAGAAAAAAATCTGCGTTATCGGTAACGCCGTTATTGTAACGCGTTACCGCCAACACTCGAGCCGCCGGCATTAAAGTGCCTGATGGCTTCGTACTGGAACCGGAAACAAGTAAGACATATCCGACTCGCAACCCCCGTGCGTTACAATTACAAGTCTGCATAAGGGGTAGGAAATATGGTGACTGCTAATGAGGACTCTAATCATCATTGGCGCAGCTCGAGCGGATGACCTGGGCTCGAGTGCATTTGTTCTTCTGTGAGCTGGCTATTTTAAAGCAGGCCATGCCTCTTCGATCTGTGATACAGTAACAAAGAGTTAACGAGTAACCGCTTCACTGGATTACCAAACAAGTCACCAGAAACCTTAAAAAAAACAAAAAAAAACAGACCACTCTATATGCTATTGTAGTCGTGGACAACGGAGAATGAAAGAAAGAGTTAGCAGACAATAAAAAGGTACAAATCACCCAGCAAAGACCTCCTTCAACGGCGATGATCGCGGAGGGGGTCGGTAGGACCATTGAAAATCGAACCGGTAATGGTCGCCGTCGGTGTTGAGTCCACAACAAACAAAGAGGAAGCCACACATGAAACTATTAAAAAAAAAAGAGCTTCACGTTTTTTTGAGCTGCACGTTACACGTTTGTTTATTCGATTTCGCGGCGTTGCTAGGGGCTAAAACGAAAACAGAGGAAAGGAATAACGTAGTCAAGCTCACACCGCCCGGTAAGTCGCACGCCGCAATATGCTACGTGCTAACAGTGCGTGACATTTTTTGCTTTCGCATTTCTCTGCCCAGTGACTTTGGCAGGTTGATTGCTTGTTCGCTTGACGAAGCAGTTTAAAAGTATATAGAAGTACTTGTTGACGTGCGTGTCCAGGCTATCCCTGCACACCGTGCCTTTTTTTCGAGTGTCCATCAGCGGCTTCAAGTACGCCTTCAGCTGGACTTTTGTTTGGTGCACTATATCAGTGAAAAGTGTGTTGAAGACACGTCTGATGTTACTGGCTAGGTGAAGAGCTAAGTTGTAAGGTGGTGTCGTTTTCACATACGAGTATTTCTTGTTCTCTCTACAGAATGGCTTTCGAGGTGTTCCATGTTTCTGATTGCAGTTGGACTTAGCAAGCATGACAAATTTGACTTGCTGCCCACCCGGCTACATAGGAATGCGTTTTCAGTTGTGCATCTGTTCTATAATCCGTGAAGTTCTCCGTCATCTCCGTGGAGTTGTCAAAATCATCTGTTGAGGCGTCAGTGTTGATTTTTAAGCCAGACTTGGATAGCTCTTCCAGTTTAATTTGAAGTAACTTAATTACTCACGTCTGTTCTGTCTTCGGGAAGCTGAAGCAGGATTTTCAACCACACCTTAAAAAATTGTGTTTGCAGTGGTAGGCAGTACATGGCATGCGTGTCATCTCCAAATATGCGCTAGTCTATGCCGCAAGGTGGCTGTTTAAACATCAAATGATGACCCATAGCAGACTTCACCGCGTACTCTAATGAAATCCGAATAGCAATGTATAACGAGATTACACTTGTTAATATACATATTAAGTATAAAAAAGCACATTTGAAAATTTCTGATTAGAAACTCAATTGCAGACGAAAATAGCAGGTTATGACCGTGCAATCACTTTCTAAACTTTGCAGAAAAGATGGAGTTCTCATCGCAGACGAAAATATAAGAAATGGGGAGCAGTCGTGGACAACGGAGAATGAAATAAAGAGTTAGCAGACAATACAAAGGTACAAATCACCCAGCAAAGACCTCCTTCAACGGCGACGATCGCGGAGGGAGTCGGTAGGACCATTGAAAATGAACCGGTAATGGTCGCCGTCGGTGTTGAGTCCAAAACAAACAAAGAGGAAGCCACACATGAAACTATTAAAAAAAAAGAGCACGTTTTTTTGAGCTGCACGTTACACGTTTGTTTATTTGATTTCGCGGCGTTGCTAGGGGCTAAAACGAAAACAGAGGAAAGGAATAACGTAGTCAAGCTCACGCCGCCCGGTAAGTCG